GGGTGTTGGCAGTGTGGCTCTATCTGAAGATCTGGAAATCCATAATGTTTTGTTTGTCCCTGCTCTTACTTGCAATCTTATTTCTGTGAGCAAATTAACTAAAGGGAAAGCATGTCGGGTGATATTTGATGATGTTAAATGTGTTTTTCAGGATTCGACCTCGGGGAGGAAGATTTTGACTGCTAAAGAATGGGATGGACTCTACTACTTTGAAGGAAAGGATATGAAGATAGCAGGAGCAAAGAAAGCTATGGTTAGCTCCAACTCTCAGAATAAAAATGTAATGTTGTGGCATCAAAGATTAGGCCACCCCAGCTTTGATTATATGAAGCATGTGTTTCCAACTTTATTCAATAAAAATTCTTCTCCTTTCCAATGTGAAACGTGTCAAATTGCTAAGCAAACTCGCGCCTCTTATCCCAAACATACTTACAAACCTTCCACCCCGTTCAAATGATCCATACCGACATTTGGGGACCAGCCAAAACCAACACCCGAACAGGCACAAAATGGTTTATCACATTCATAGATGATCACACCCGGGTCACATGGGTTTACCTTATGAAAGAGAAATCCGAAGCCCTACAAATTTTCAAAAACTTTTACTCGTTTGTGAGAACCCAATTCCAAACTACCATCAAAGTCCTGAGAAGTGACAATGCCAAAGAGTATGTGAGTGGAGCCTTTAGGGAATTTCTTGAGCAGGAGGGAATCCATCACCAAACCTCATGTGTTTATACTCCTCAACAAAATGGAGTTGCTGAGCGAAAGAATAGACACCTTTTGGAAGTAACCCGAGCTATTATGATGGAAAGAAATGTTCCAAATCTGTTTTGGGGAGATGCTGTACTAACCGCAGCTTATCTTATCAACCGCATGGCCTCTAAAATTCTCCACTTTAGTACCCCTATTCAAAAGCTCCTCGAGACTTACCCCACTTCACCTATCATCAATACCATCCCTCAAAAGGTCTTTGGGTGTGTCGTCTTTGTCCATAAACATGATGGAGGCAAACTAGGTGCTAGAGCAGAAAAATGCATTTTCCTCGGATATTCCTCCACCAAAAAGGGGTATAAGTGTTATTGTCCCACCACCAGAAAACTTATAATCTCCAAAGACACAGTCTTTTATGAGGATGATGCTTACTATCCCAAATTACCCATTCAGGGGGAGCACTATGGAGTAGAATGGCTAATTACATCCGAACCTATAACCATACCACCTCAAGACAACATCCCTGAGCCGGAAACGGAACCAAAAACCCCTACTACTATACCTTCTCCAGAACACCAAAACTCCACAAACACCCCTCACCCAATGGAAACCAATGCTGAAATTGATGCAGGGGTGACAGAGCACTCAAGTCCTCAATCAGGTGAACAGGACAGTAGTAGTAGGGTTCCTTCCATTCCAAGGCAGCAACATGATTCCAATCCGGAGTTGGATCCTGAAGAGCTGGGATGGCCTATTGCACTTAGAAAGGGGGTAAGATCGTGTACTCAGCATCCTATTCAAAAATTTGTCTCCTATGGCAATTTATCTGCGAGAATGCAAACTTTTGTAGTGAATAGCTCACAGGTGAAAATTCCAGAAACATTTCAACAGGCTGTAACAGATCCTAATTGGAAACATGCTGCATATGAGGAGTTGAGAGCCTTGAAGGAGAATAACACGTGGGATATCACCACACTTCCTAAGGGCAAGAAAGCAGTGGGTTGCAGGTGGATCTTCACCCCTAAATTCAATCCTGATGGTAGCATCAACAAGTACAAAGGAAGATTAGTTGCCAAAGGGTACACCCAAACCTATGGGATTGATTATCAAGAAACGTTTGCTCCTGTGGCAAAGTTCAACACCATCCAGGTACTCCTGTCCCTAGCTGCCAACCTTGATTGGCCCCTACATCAGCTAGATGTGAAGAATGCTTTCCTAAACGGAGATTTGGAGGAGGAAGTGTACATGGAAATTCTAGATGGAGTAATAGCTCCACCCAACTCAGTTTGCAAATTGAAGAAATCATTATATGGCTTGAAACAATCTCCACGAGCATGGTTCGACAGGTTTGCCAAAGCAATCAAAAGGTTTGGCTACATTCAAGGACAAGCTGATCACACTCTTTTCGTCAAACACAGTGATGGAAAGGTAACGATCCTAATTGTGTATGTGGATGATATAGTCATAACTGGCAGTGATGAGGTTTCTATCTCCCATCTTAAGAAAGCCCTAGCTAGGGAATTCCAAGTGAAGGACCTAGGCCAAATGAAGTACTTTCTTGGAATGGAGGTTGCTAGATCCAAAAAGGGTATAAGTGTGTCCCAACGAAAGTACACACTGGACTTACTCCACGAAACAGGAATACTTGGGGCTAAACCTAGTGAGACTCCTATGGAAGAGTCATGCAATCTGGAAGTGAAACCAAAAGGGACACCAGTTAACTCAGAAAGGTACAGAAGACTTGTGGGCAAACTAATCTACTTGACTCATACAAGGCCTGACATTAGCTATGCAGTTGGAGTGGTAAGCCAATTTATGCATCAACCCCAGGAAGAACACATGGAAGCAGTATACAGAATCCTCACCTACCTCAAACTCAACCCTGGAAGAGGACTATTCTTTAAAAAGGGGAGTACAAGGAGCATAGAGGTCTACGCTGATGCAGATCATGGGAGAGCTGTGGACAACAGAAGATCTGTCACAGGATACTGTACTTATGTTTGGGGAAACTTAGTCACTTGGCGAAGCAAGAAACAGACAGTAGTCTCAAGAAGCAGTGCTGAGGCTGAGCTAAGAGCTGTAGCCCTGGGGGTATGTGAAGGAATGTGGGTGATTAGACTTCTGAAGGAATTGAGAATTTCCTATGAAGGACCTATGAATCTCTGGTGTGACAATCAAGCCAGCATTGAAATGACCAAGAACCCTGTGTATCACGACCGAACAAAGCATGTTGACATTGATCGGCACTTCATCAAAGAAAAGGTCGAGGATGGCATCATTAACTTGAACTATATGCGTTCAACTGATCAGATTGCTGACATCATGACCAAACCGTTAGCCAGAGTCAAGTTTGAAGGGCTTCGAAGCAAGCTGGGAATGGTTGACATCTACTCTCCAGCTTGAGGGGGAGTGTTAGAAGCCCTTGATCTCCTCCCTGATTTTCTCTCCTTATTCTCTCCATTAATTACCCTTGATTTAGCTAGGCAATAAATTCCTGATTTCTTGTGATATTGCAATATCTTTCAATTATTATTTGATTGTAACCGGATGGTATGAGACTCTATAAATTGTACCCACATCATATGAAATAATATGCAAGAGTGAATTTTCAATACTCTTTAAACAATATATATTATATATAAATATAAGAGATATTAATTGTTAGATTTAATTTATAAGGATAAATTAGATCTATGTAAATTGATTCCGTCATATCTTTATTTTTGAATTAGATAAATAGGTGAATTAAATCTGTGAGACGGATTTAATATAAACCGTATTTATTTAATTGTTCTCTTATCTAATTATGCAATATTTGATATTGTATTAATTTTGGAATTAATTTGGGATTAATTTCGAAATTAAAATATCACTCATAATACCTATAGCATCCTATATATTCGATACTAGGGAGTTAGGGTTTTGAGTGAGAGAGTGAAAGCACTAAGGAGATAAGGGACGGCCAAAAGTGAGGAGAGAGGACGGATTTTCAAAACCCTAGACGGACATAGACGCTAGCACGCCGTTCGAGGTTGAGGGCTACTCGTGTGGATACCGGTAGAGGAAGTCGACCGGAGTTGTCGACTTCGAACGACAAAGGAGGCGAACAGAAGCATCCTGAACGGCCGAATCATCGAGTCACCAGGAAATCGAACACCGAAGGTAATGCTTCTTACTACCTGACTTAAACGCGATCGGTAGATCCGGGCAAGGGATTGAAAGTTTTAAAATTTTCCGCTGCGCGTCGTCTTTTAATTCCCTTCACCAAGTTCCTAACTAAGAAATTACAACTCCTAGACCTAGAAAGCCATAAATCATAGCTAAAAATTGCAAACTGAAACTAAACTCCCCCTTTGAAGCTTAGGAACTCAAGCCACACCACCATTCTTCAAGAGTTGATAAACCCTAGCTCTCCATAGCTTCAAGAAAAGCTCCAACTGAAGTGAATCTGTCGGCCATGGTAGCTGGGAGTGGAAGGAATTGAGATGGAGTGAATGAAAGATGAAGGAAATGGATGGGGAAGAAGATGGAGGTGGAGAGGCAAGAAGATGGGAGAATAAAGGTGTTGTAGGAGATGGAATGGAGTATATGGTCAAAAATAGGGTTTCTAAGGGTTTTAGGGGTCCATCTAGGTCGGATCATATGATTAGAAGCTCCATTTTCGCGTTCTGATCTGGATCTGGCGTTGCTGATACGAAGAGTTCGCCGCGGCGAAGCATGCCTGAGAGGAGCTCTGCCTAATCTTGTGATTTCGCCGCGGCGAACTCTGCCCGAGAGACTACTGGGGAGATTTCAATTTGGCGCCGCGGCGAAGAGAATCTTTGCCGCGACGAACTCTATTAGTGCTGATATTCTGATCTTGTGTTGTGTCATCCTTTGGTCTTTAATCTTGGCTCCAATTCTCAATTGTCCTACAATAAAAAGCAACAATTTGAAGCATCAATTGTCCTAGAAATCAACTGAATACAATTAATAACCAATTATGACAATCTTAACCTCAAAAAGACACTAACTCAAAGCAAGGACTCTTAATCTAAATTAAGCACAATTATCATCAAAAGGAGCCAAAATCTATGATAAATACCTTTAAAATGATATGAAATAACATAGAATAATTGGGCTAAATCAGTGTCCCTAGTAGTATCAAATCTAACAGAAACCTAAGGTTCACCTCAAAGTTTTAGAGATCTCTGTAGAAAGAAATAGACACTAGTCTCATATTTGGTACAGCATACCATCCGTAGACAGATGGCCAGACAAAACAAATAATCCAAACTTTGGAGGATATGCCGCGAGCATGTGTGCTAGACTTCAGAGGAAACTGGGATATGTACCTCCCATTAGCAGAATTTGCTTATAATAATAGTTACCATTCTAGTATTCAGATAGCTCCATATGAAGCCCTATATGGCAAGAAGTGTAGATGTCCCTTGTACTGGACAGAACTTAACGAGAGAAGGATGTATGGTCCAAATTTAGTGGATCAGACCTCGAAACAAATTGGGATTATCAGGCAGAGACTCTTAACAACTCAGAGTAGACAGAAAAGTTACGTAGACATTAGGAGAAAGCCCTTAGAATTTGAGGCTAGAGATCATGTATTTCTCAAGGTATCTCCAACCATAGGAGTAAGTCGATCCATCAAGACAAAGATGCTGAATCTAAAGCACATTAAACCATTCCAAATCCTCTTGAAAGTCCGTCCAGTAGCTTATAAACTGGCCCTTCCCCTAAACTTGAGTTAGATACACGATGTTTTTCATGTTTCTGAATTAAAGAAGTACCATCTAGACCCAGTGCATATTGTGGAATACGATGATATTACACTTCAAGATAACCTGTCTTTTAAAGTGGGACCAGATCGCATTATTGATCGGAAGGTCAAACAACTGAGGAATAAGCAGATCCCACTAGTTAAGGTTGTTTGGGAGGAACTATCCATAGAGGAAGCAACTTGGGAAGTAGAAGAAGATATGAAAGAAAAGTATCCAAAACTTTTCGATAAAGGTACTTTTTAAATTTCGAGGACGAAATTTATTTAAGGGGAGAATTGTCATATCCAGTATTTTATGACCAAGGTATACTTAATCTAAAGATAGTTAAGGGCCAGAATATTAGTGTTAATGTAGATTGCACAACTTTTGATGTGAAATCAGGATAGGGACCAAAGTGGAATTTTCAGTATTTTGAGTAAGTCAATATAAATTAAAGAAATATGACAGAAAGCTCTGAAAATTCCTAGAAAACCCCAGAAATTAGAGAAAATTCTCTGGAATAGGACGATGGTCCTAGAAGTTAAAAATATGAAGGAAATTAATTAATATTAATTTTCTAGTAATTTTTGTAATATTTGACGAATTAAGGAAAATTAGTCAAATTTAATTATTTCATGTATTCCAAGGCCTCAAAAAAATTAGGAAAAATATGGATAAAATACCTTGAGAGTTTTAGAACATTATAGAAGTAATTTTCTTCCCAAGTTACCCCCAAATTAACTTTAAAAATATTTAAAGCTTATTTAAGCCAATTAGGGCTTTTATTCAGGAAATTCAAAAAAGAAATACCTATAGGGAGAGTTAAATTCTAGAAAAATTCATGGAATTTTCTTGGAATTAAAAAGAGATTTTAAAACTGAAAGAGGAATTTTCTAAGTCCTAGAACTCTAGAAAGCATTTCTAGAAGGAAAAGTAATACTTTTAGCCACTATTTTTTACTAAGGATTTCTATTCTTTTGAAAACCATTATAAGGGGTGGTGACTCAAAAGTAAATAGGTGGTGTCTCAAAAGTAAATGGTAAAAGATGAGGATAGGTGGTCAAAAATAACAGGGACAATTATGGTGCTACTAGTACAAAAGTTACTTAAGTTGGTAGAAAGTTATGCGGGGTATATTGTAAAAAATCTTCTTCCTTCTTGACTAAGCTATTCTTGGTGCCATTTGGAAGGTGGAAGAAGCAAGGAGAAGTTTCAAGATGTGCATTACATAAGCCCTTAGGAATTATGATCCCATATATTACAATTATCAACCAATCACATAATTTTAGCAATTTGAAAAAGGTTAAGGGCAAAATTGTCCAAAGACCTTTATAAAGTCCCATCTTCCTATCCCACCTCCTTCGTATTTTTGTTCTCATTGGGAAACACTTGAGAATTGAAAACTTGAAGCCTAAAGAGGAGAACAAGGCAAGAAATCAACCAACCAAACTTAGATCCCAAGTTAGTAGTTAATCCTAGTTGGTTTAATGATTAGAAATCTTGAGTTTTATGGTTGAAAATCCATGATTTTCTCTTCCCCTCTTGCTGGCCAAAATTATATAGGATTGGTGGGGGATGGTTTTGATGATGGGAATTAGTTTAAGAAGTTGTTTATGACTTGAATTAAGTGGTATTATGTGATTATGGTTGATATTATTATTGTCGGAAAACTTAGGAAACCCCACAGTCAAGAGGACTTTTCACCTAGGATTGGTTTTTGCTTGTTTTGATGCTTCTAATATGTTTAGAATGAAAAATTATGTAGGTTACACCTAAGGAATAAGTCTTGGAAGCATTCGAATCAAAATTGGGAATTTAGGTGAAAAAGAGGAAGTGTTTCAGCCTAAGGGGTTCAAGAGAAAGGAAGATGAATTTCATAATTTTGAGCTCATATTTGGATTCTACATAAAAAATCATGTAGGATTTGCCTAAGAGAATAAGTTTTAAATTGATGGAAACAAAACTCAAAAATTAAACAGAAAGAGATTAAGGGTTTTACTCAATTTAAACATTGAGTTCTGTTATGATATGGAATATAATGGTTGTGCCCCTTTGTTGGATAGGCTTTGATATTTGTGAAGGACGGAGCTAAGAACAAGAAGAGAGAGTTAAGGCTTATGTCACTTGAGGTAGCAAGATGTAATTAACTTTGTTGTTAGCATTGCATTGTTATTATACTTATGTTATTGCTATTGGATGGTTGAGCTATATGAATGTTTATGTATGACTTGTGGTTGCTCCTTGCAATGTTATGCCTTGGCTATTGCATGTTAGAGTTTCACAATGTATAAGTTAGTTTAGTTTCCTAACAATGGCTTTTAGTAAAGTTGTGTGATAATGATGCTTGTTAATACTTAGTTGATTTATCTTGCTATTGGGATTTCTATGAAATCTCATTCCTTCCAAATTTACCATGATTCAAGTAGGGACAGAGGCATTTCAAAGAGGGAAGAGCATAGTAGAAAAATAGCTTCATAGTTTTATATTTCATGGCATGAATTTGATATATGTATGCAATAATGCTGGAAATTGTTGCATATGAAGCTGTAAACTTTGATAAATGTTTTGAAATAGTTGCTGTATGAATTTGGCCTTGAGATTTTGTATGCTTAAAATAGACATCTTGAGCTTTAATTCCATGTGTAATTCACTAGAGTTGGAGATATGTTTGAATTATGGCGATTTTTCAAAATCAGTGCTTTAAATCTGGAAAGCAGTTTTGACCATATGAACAGTGTAAATTCTGTACAGTTATGGCACTATTCCACAATGAGTTAGCCCTTTAAAGTATTTTTATTATGTAGATCTCTTTAAAAGCTTTCAGTGGAACTTAGAACCACCTCATTTTGTTTTTTTTAGGATTAGTTTTGAATTTTTAAAGTTGACAATAAAGTCTGGATTTACCAAATGAACAGTACCTGAGAAAGCAAGAATTCCACATTTGTTTTCTTGCACTGTAAGCCATCCAAAGTGGTTCCAATTGACGTAGAATGAACTTGAATATGGTCTGCAGCTAAGGGGTTACATCTACTACCTTATTAAAAACTTCGAGTTGTCTCGAGGCCACCTTCTCTCTCAATTTTGGTTTTAGCCCCCTAATCATCTTCTCAGTAAAACCAGCGCTTATCATTCATGTATTAGAGGTAAGTGAAGTACATGGATAACTTAATGTAACTTGCCAAATACTCATCGAAAGGTTCATTCACAGCTTACTTTATGGTAAGGAACTCTGGTTCTTTCTAATCCCTCAAAGATTTGGGAAAGTATTTTAGGAAAAATTAGTCCTTCAATACTTCCCATATAATAGGGGCTTTGTTGGCTTGGAGGACTAACTGATGTTCTTCCAACATCTGTCCGCTTTCCCTTCTAGCTTGTATACCACCATCTGAGCTTTCCTCTCTGATGGGCACTTCGAGATATTAAAGATCTTTTCCAGCCGAGTTATCCATTCTTCAGCTACTTGCACATCAAATGTTCCTATAAAGGCATGAGGATTGTGTTTGCCAAACTTAACAATCCATTACTACAATATGTCAAGCTCTGCAGCAAGTTGAGTTCTCACAGGAGTGGTTTCCTGTGATTGCTATGGTAGTGGTATGGGCTAGGTTATCCCGGTTACTCTTTACCAAGACTGCTGTAACTGTGCCAGTGCTACCGCTATTGCTGTAGCTCTAGCAGCATCTCTCTCCTATTTTTGCCTAGCCTTTGTGGCTTGTATCTCAGCTATGGTTCTCTACTATTCCTCTAATCTCTCTATTATCCTCTCAATCAGATCAACAAGGGGTCTCGATGACTCTCTCGTTGTACTGGCTCCCCTACCTCTTGATCCTCATCTTGTCCTCACCATATTGTTGTTTTCGTCTTATACAAGAAGAATAAAATCATTACTTTACATAAATGATACTTATATTACTTTTCAATTTATATATACATCAGGCACAGTCAGCAAAATATGGGGCTATAGCCTACCATAGTTAGCATAGCATATAGCCATCCTATATTTACAACCCAGAAGAAGAAGAGGGAAATAAAGTAGCTACAAAAAGTTCTAAATCATCCAGCTGCCGATCAAAGTCACTAAGCATAGAGGATCTGTAGAGCTACCAGATCTGTGTCTGCCAGATCAGTAGTAGGTAGTGTCTCTAATAACACCTGGCACCATAAAGCGTCATCTACATACTAGCCTTCCTCAACTACTTCATTATGCAATAACCTCAAGTAATAGAAGTAGTCCTGGTAGATCGCTGCATATTGATTCTGGGTTTGGTCTATATATCTATCCAACTCAATAAATTCCTTAACGAGGCTGTTATGATCTTTAAATTCCTTCTTTACTAGCAGAGGCCTCCTTTTAATTGGCAGATCCTTGCCCTTGATCTGTTTTGGCTTTAAGGTCCAAATAGGTACTGCCCTGATGGCACTTGGGCCTGCCTTATCAGGGTGTGGCTGAGGTCTTTTTGTGCTCTAAGCATCACCATCCTCCAACTTCACCAGGTCATTGGAGTCCTCCCCTGAATAGATATCCTCTATTTTGCTGAGGAGCTGGTGGTACCCGTATGGTGGAGTCAAATCATCACGGTCTTCAATATGAGGATGATACCACTCTACGTATGGCTCCCCCAGCATCCTCTGATTCACTGTTTCCCTAAAGTCATCACTACAACAGGCCATAACTTACCTGCACTCAACTCCACTTATAATATACCAATCCACTAAAGCAGTGCTTATTCATAGTCAACAAGAACAATCTCATTTCACAATCAATTGCATCTACCAAACACTATTCACAAACATTGAGCAATAATCAATTATTGTGCACAATACATAACAATAAACACAATGCACAGAAACAGAGCCAGAACTTTTACTCTGATACCAAAAAGTGTAACACATCCTTTATTATCCCATTATACATCAATTAGAACCATTACAACTCATTTCCTAGTGTTTCTGAGTGAAAATTTTCAATTTCAAAATTTCACGTTTTATTCTATCTATACACTATTCATCTGAATTTGGGCCAATTCTAAAAATTCATAATTAATTCTAGAAAAATCAAAACAACATGGTTCCAATTTTCACATGAAGCTTACTAAGAGTTCTATAAAGAAAAAATATTCATTATACTCAATTCCCTCTAGATCAGCACCAGAAAATTTGACAAAATACACTATTCATATGGCCAATTTTCAAATTTCCAGTATTTTAACCCAACTTTGGAAGGACATAACTCTTAGCACAGAACTCGAATTTTAATGGTTTACCACATGGTTTAAAGCTAAAAATGAAATCTATAATCTGAAAAATTTCAGGTTCGAATTCAATCATTTGCTTATTATTTTTTGTGTCAAAAAACTGACCACTTTTAGGGTATTTTTATCCCCTAATGCCCTTTCTCTTGAATTTATTTCCCTTTTCCTCCTTCTACATCTTTTGACATTGCACCATTCAATATCTCAACATTAAGGCATGTCATAACAATACAAGTCACATTATATCATCAACCATCCTTCATTACAACTTAACATAAAGTTTGATAGTATGTTACATAACATTCAGAACAATATAACATTTACAAAGCTCTTTCATCCTAGCAACAATTCCTTGTCTTGAACCATGGTTGAGCCATCTCCTAATTAATAAATAAATTGACATAGAAGGAATAAGAGTTCATGGAAATCTCAAAATTACAATTATCATGCAAATCAAGCAAGTTACAATGTGACATATGATAAACTTCAAGACATCCTCAAGCCACATAAAATCATATTCAACAATATGCTAGGAGAGGAACATTAACACTCCCACATTAACACAATTCAAGGCATTTGGCCAAAGCATAAACCAAGGTTATCCAACCAACCAAGATCACGACACAAGTTCCTCAATCCAAACAACAACAAATCATATTAAACAAGCAAGATAAACAATCAAATTATAATTCAAAGCTACTTTTTACTACTTGTCCAATTTGGTCACCTCAAGGGATAATGATCCTCTTTGACTCCTCCCTACAAAGCTTATTAAATCAAGTATAAATATAGGTCATATTAACCATGAATCAACACAATACAAAAACTTAACATTAACTAAACATTTTCCCCCCCTTTTTTCTTTGATTTTTAACAAAATACTTTCTCATTTAGAATCAATAATCTTATGAGACATTCCTACATAATTTTCATGAGGAATCCAAATATGAAGTCATATTTTTAAAAATCAAACTTCTTCCCTTTCAAGTTGAGTTGGCCGAATAGGGTGTATATACTTTTGAAAATTTTATTTTTGATTCCAATGATTTCAAACACTTCTCAATAGTATATCCCTACACAAAAACATGTTTTAAACCCATTGAAATCATCAAATCAATGAAAAACAATCTCCTGCCCCATGAACAACACCTGGCTGAATTGAAGCTTAGGAAACCTAGGTTGATTTTCTTCCAAAACCTAATCCATACACCACTTACTCATGTTTATTCCACTTGATTTTTTAAGGTTTCTATCCTTCCCTAACCATCACATGATCCACTGAAATTTTGGCAACATTTTTCTTAATTTTCCAAGCCAAAAATCCTTACTAACCAAGCTTGAAACTTATGAATAGGGATGCTTAAACTTACATTGATGTTCCCCTAGTAAAAACTAGATGATTCCTGGCTCAAAACCTCCTCAATTTTGGTCTCCTTAAGTCTAGATACAAAGTGGCAGCACCTCCCCTTATTTTTTCTATTTTTTCAACATTTTTTTGTATTTTAAGAGTGCGTATTTATAGAAAATGTAATATGCCCCTCCCCTTCTCTTGTTGGCCAAAAATGGGACACCTAATGGGGGTATGTGGTAGCCATTTATAGCAAAATAAATTAGATCAATCCAAGTGGCATATCTAGACTTTTCCAAGCATTTATCCTTTGATTTTGCATTTTATTTAATTAATTATGTGGAGTGGCAAGCAGGCAACGAAATTAGACCCTCATTAGGCTCAATGTAGGCCCCAAAAATGGCTTGGGCTGGCCCCAAAAGATGGCCCATGAAACATCCTACCTTTAACCCCTCAAAGTACACATTCATAAGCATTACGGTTCAAGCAAATCATGACACAAGCCCGTGGATTTAAAATTTCAACATAATTACTCGGGTTACTATTTACTGTTTAACTTCCAAATTACAAGGCCAACTTCAAAAATTCATAACTAATTTCATAAAAATTGTATTGAGATGTTCTAGAATTCTACAGAAATATATTTTGATGCTCTTTAAGGAAAAAATATCCAATTAGACTTATCCTTGCCTAATTCGTACAGTTTAATCAATAAATATTACTGTTCATTTCGAAGAATCTGGAACTTCTAGATTCTGTACCTCAACTTTGGAAATTCGTATCTCCTTGTATGCACATCCAATTGAGGTGATCTACCTCTCATTTTAAAGCTTGGGATGTGTTCTATGAGTCTGCCAAATCTCGTGACTTAACTCATTCGTTTGGTAGGACAAACTGGAGCTACAAACTCATTGCTCCAGGACCTACGTTTTATCCTTTAACATCTCTTTACTTTAATTCTTTTTATTTCTTTCGCATACATAACATGTGTTTATTCTTTCCCATTCATGTTCATACATTTCTATACATGCCGTAAGTATTATAATTAATTACATGGCATCATTGGCATCCATAATGTAACACCTTACGTTTGCAACCTTATATTGTACCAAGTTAAGATATTTGGAAGTGCAAATTAAGAGGGTTGAAAAACCTGAACTTGAAAATTTCTTTTCCCGCATTACTATTCACTGTAACCTTAAACTTGGCATAACTTTGGAAAATTATAAGTAATTCTAAAAAAATCGAAACAAGGTCGTTCCAAGTCTCACTCGAAGCTCTTAACATCATCTATCAAGGAAAAATGACCTCAGGTTCACTTTAATCAGAAACGCATCCAATTTTAATTTCGAAAAGTACTGTTCATTTGGTCATTTTTCTATTTTCCAGGATTTTTGTCTAACTTCGAAAAGGCATAACTTCTTACACAGAGCTCCGATTGTGACGTTTTACCACTCATTTTAAAGGAAAAAATAATATCTATTTGCATACCAAATTTCAGGGAAAAAGTCAACCATTTGACTAGGGTCTTCGTTGGTCAAAGTTTGGTCAAATTTAGACCATTTTTATCCCCCTTTTTCACTAATTCTAGTACCATTTCGTTTTTCACTACAAGCATACCATAATCACATATAAAGGTGCTCTACCATTAATATACATTCAAAAAGGTTATCATATCATGTATTCAAGATCAGAATATGTTTACATGGCTTGAAAGAGAAAGGTTTAAAACCGTATAATACAATACATAACTCATAACTTCCTCAAGCCATGATTATTTCTTTTCCCTTCTCCTTGGAAGTAGTGGCACCTAGGATATCATGTTATAGGAGGAATGAGATTTCATAGAAATCCTAGTAGCATTGAACATACAACCATCAAGTCAACATGCATAAGATGTCATGCTACATGCAGTAAAATAACATTGCTAGTCTTTATGCCATGCCATAACCATTCTGTATCCATGTCATCATATCATGGAGCATATAATCATTCTGGTCAAAACTCAATCATGCAAGAGCCAAGGCATACATTGCAAGGAGTTAACATCATCTGGGCATAAACATTCT